CTCTTTGTTAATTCCTCTACTTTTAAATCTTGTTTCTCGTTGCAATCTTCATTACTTCATATCGCGTCATTAATCTCATTCACTACAATCCTTTCGGGTCCAACAAATGGTATCAGAGCTTGGATCTTGTTGTGGATTGGTTAAAGTTTTTCAGAGATGGCTGCTTTGAAGTATGATATTCCATAATTGAATCGCAATACAAGGTTTTCTTTGTGGCAAGTAAAGATGAAAGTTATTTTGGCACAGTTAGATTTGGATGATGTGTTGCTGGGTTTTAAGAAGATACCAGCTAATTAGACAACGGAGGAGAAACAACAAAGGGATCAGAAGGCTTTGTCGTTGATTCATTTTCATCTATCCAACAATATTCTGCAAGATGTCTTGAAGGGAAAAACAGCAGCTGCTTTATGGTTGAAACTGAAGCAGTTTTGTATGATCAAGAGTCTTGCTAGGAAACTGGCTCTAAAGCAGAAGCAGTGTTCCTATCGCGTGGCAGTAGGAGAATTGTTGGAAGACCATATTGCTGTGTTAAAGGAAATTATCGCAGATTTGGAAACATTGGAGGTTAAGTGCGATAAAGATGATCTTGCCTTAATCCTATTATGTTCGTTGTCTGGCTCTTATGCGTCGTTTCGGGACTCCATTTTGTATAGTCGAGATACTTTAACTATAGACGACGTCTATGATGATTTGCACTTAAAGAAGAAGTTGAAGTATTTGGTTGGAGCTACATCGAAGGATGAGGAAGCTATTGTATCTCATGGTGGTCGACAGAGGGGCGGATCGAAGAATAACAGCAATTTTTTTTTGCTTCTACTACATACATAAGGGGGGACATATTCGGAAGGATTGTAATAAATTGCAAGCTAAAGGTGATTTAACTACAAATCGTAGAGCGCAACCTTTGACTTCATATGAAACAAATACAGTTGAGGATTTTTCAGACGACAGAGATGTGATGTTAATTGTAATATTTGACATGGAATCTATGCTCGATGCTTCAACTTTAAGGTTGCAAACCCAAGTGCATGTTGTCTCAAGTAGTAAACTCGAAATTTCGAGGTCAAACCATAAAGAATTGGAAGGAAATAAACTATTCTATGAGTGGTGAACAGTTGGTGGAAATACGATGGAGAAGAACACTAGAGTGTTGAGGATTCACTTCGGATAAATGAGTAGAATTACTCTTGATCTTCTATTTAACTCATATGAAATATGGAAGATAAAACATTGATTGCAAATATACTAAAAGATAGATCTTGATAATTATTTGAGGGAAAATATGTCAAAATAAGTTGTTGGAATGTAGAGATTATCTAAGCATTTATTGTGTCAAAATTTGTCAACAATAAATCAAAGCCTTTAACAAAGCAAAACTGTTTATAGAACATATACTTCAACCAAGCAAGAAGATGAATATTGAAGAACAAAGTGAAAAATCGAAGACAATACTACGCATTCACCAAAGTTTCACCCCTAGCTCTAGCTAATGGTTTAGAAATACATAATGAAATGTTACAAAAAAAATGAAGGAAACTAAAATATGATGACGAAGAATTGATGCTCCAAAATCTTGGCCAAGGTCCCTTTTACAGGCAAAGAAATATCCAAAATGCAAGTGGACAATGCAACTTGTTTCTGTCCAGTTTTAAGACAGTTAGAACATGCAACTTGATGCCAATTTTCAGATACTTTGTGCAATGAATTTAGACTTATGATCGATAGAAAAATTGTTTCCACTTGAGTTAGCTTTCCATTGGTGTAAATATCAGGTCCATAGGATCTATATAACTCTAGATATGGCCAAAACAATGAGTGCTGCTTCACAGGTAGAAAAGTTGTATCCGGTAGGTAACAAACTGGACTTTACACAGTAATTTTGGCTACCTTATGATACAAATTTGACTTCTTGGTAAGCATAAAAGTTGTAGATACATATCATATCTTTCTAATCCAACTTGAATCACCTTGTTTCGATAGCTACAACTCGAGTTATGACTATTTTACCGAGACAGCTGTATCTTGCTCAAGACAGCTAATCATTTTTTTACTTTTCAACATATTTTCTCCACTTGCTCCACTTGTTCTATCTTGGAAATACATGTGAAATATATCGAATAAATACTCTTTCAAAAGTATAATACTCATGCCAATATGTATTTAAATACGTATTTCAATTAATTGCATTTTTAACCATGTATTTATGGAAATTGAATTTACAACAAGAGAATTGAAATTAAAGACTAACATTAGTGAATTTAAACAAATTGAATGTAAAATGTCTTGTAAATTGTATATCTTTGAAGCATTTTTCGACAATAATCACCTGACGAGGAGTGAATCCTTGATTCGACATGTTCGCATCATATATTTTCCAATCAAAATTTCTTTCAGACATATGAGGCTGTCAAGTAAGGTCGAGTTGTGATAGGAAACAACCAGTCTTGTCGTGTTGATGAAATCGGTCGAGTCAGATTAAGACTGCGAGATGGGACAGTCAGAACAATTGATCAGGTTCTGCATGTTCCAGACCTGGAAAAGAATATCATCTCACTTAGTACTTTGGATGCAAAATGGTATAAATTCTCTAGTGGGAGTGGGGGTGGGGTGGGGTTCTGAAGGTTCAAATGGGAGTCCGAATTATATTGGAGAAACAGAAGAAGTCTCAGTTGTGTATCTTGCTGGAAGCGCAGAACTAGTTAAAAGATATCGAGACAAGTTCAGTACTGTGGTAGATATTCAGTTTGGTACAGTACCTCTTATGACGAGCTCTGGGTCAGTTTAAAACATTGATCGGGGGAGCATTGGCGATTCTACTTTTCCACCAATTTCAGCAGATACACTGTGTTCATTTGCTAGGGTTGGACTCATGGAGCGTAGATACCGTGGTGTCAATAATGTTTGGGATGCTTTTGGGGACGTTGAAGGCGACAGTTCTAGCAATGGGCTTTCTGATCCAATGTGTTGTATGGTTTCTGCTACAGGATGTGCTTCGACTCTATTTGGTCAATAGTAATCCCTCAGTGAAATTTTGGAAACCTGAGATTTGGGTTCAAATGTCGTTTATGGACGCCTTGCAGAAGACGACGATTTGGTTTGGAGAGTTTTGGTTACTGTGTTGAAGAGATTGATTATTTCGATGCAAACGGATTTGAAACCTTGGAATTTCCTTTGTTATACTAGAATTTGGGTCAAGGCGGAGTTTGTTGGGTTTGTTACCCAAATTAGTGTTTTTTTTTTTTTTAAATAAATTGTTTCCTTATTTTCATGTGATTTTTATGAAAATATATTATTTCCTTATTCCACATTATTTTCATCTTTATACTATGTCATGTACCTATAAATAGTGTTCTTCTCTTTCAATTTTGTTCAAACAAGAATTGTTGAATTCTTAAATTTCTCTCTATATTGTCGATTAATAAAATTTCATGCTTCTGTGATTAACTCTCTTTGTTAATTTCTATACTTTTAAGTCATGTTTCTTATTGCAATTTTCATTACTTCATATCGTGTCATTAATTTCATTCATTACAATCCTTCCGAGTCCAACATTACATTCCTATATTAAGTACTTCATAATTTTTTTCTCTACTACTTAAATGCTCCATTGGATAGTAAAATATTAAAAATCCATAGTAATATCTAGGAGTGTCAACGAGTAGAGCTGAAATTCTTGGCTCGGGCTCAGCTTGAACTTTTTAAGACGGGCTTTTTTTTTTGCTCAAGCCGAGCCAGACGAAAGCTCCGCCAAAAAAATAAGGCTCAACCCGAGCTTTCGACTCGGGCTAGCCGAGCCAAGCTCAGTTTTTTGGAATTTTTTTAATTTTTTTTCCCTAAAAGTGGCATTTGCTGCCTGTTTGGCAGCTAAATATAGGCTGCCTTTTCTAATCCCTTTTTTTACGAGCCGACCCGACTTGAGCCGACTCCCCAAAATGGGGCTCCGTCCGAGCCAAGCCGACTCGGGCTTTCCCCAGCCCAAATTTCAGGCAATCTGAGCCGGCAAGCCCGATTGTCATCTCTAGTAATACCCATTCAACCCACTTTAATATCAACAAAATAAATACAATAAAAGATTATTTCACTTTCCCATTTACATTACAAAATTCTAGAAAAATGAAATTAATAAATTAAAATGCATATATGATTTTGCTGGGTTGCAAGTGTCCAGAAAGCATGGCAACAAGACTCTAAAGAGAGAGAGAGAGACAGAGACAGAGAGAGAGAGGGGCTTCTCTAGAAGACGAGTCTAATTTTAAAGGGGAAAAAAAAAGTGGGACCATAAATTTTGGATGGAGCCCAATGTATTTTATTTTTTTTTAATTTAAAATATAAACATTTGTCAAAGGTTGCTTAAAATTGTACACGTGTCATTCTGTGATAGGGTGGACATTCTGCATGGGTGGTACGACAACCTCACCCAAGATTTTCTCGATGTAATGAGAGAGATTAATTATTCAATTATGCTACAAATACACCTATTTTTACATCATTTTTGACAGCCCTCACACGATACAAGTGGGCCCACGATTAAAATAATCGTGAGACTCACTCGTGTGAGTGGGCTGTCAAAGTGAGTGTACAGCAGATGCTGTACACTCAGCTTAATTCTTAATTATTACAGGACAAATTGTACAACTTTTACAGGATTATCTCCATTGCTGCAATAGTTAGGATAGAGGTGGGATAATCGATATATGTTTTTTTGGGGGAAAAAAATAATAGCACCTAGTTTATGAAATTGAATATTGAAATGTAGGGGGTTTTGAGGTAATTTTCCCTTGAATGAATTTATAATTATACTTGCCTTGGAAGTTCCAAGAGTACTTCATTAATTTCTACTAAAATTTTAATGAAAAACTAGTATATTAATTGATAATCTGTACCTTTCGGTTGTAAAAATTAGGAACTATACTACCACTTAATCATTATAAAACCTCACAGAAATCCAATAATATTTATCAAAAATAAAATAATTAACTATAATCTGGTGTTAACTGTAGCTGGGAGCAGAGTTTGTTGGCACATTTATCCTGATATTTGCTGCAACGGCCGGACCAATCGTAAACCAAAAGTACAATCAAGCCGAAACACTTATAGGCAACGCAGCATGTGCTGGTCTCGCAGCTATGATCGTGATTTTATCAACAGGTCACATCTCGGGTGCTCATCTTAATCCGTCACTCACTATTGCTTTTGCTGCAGTTCGCCACTTCCCATGGGCTCATGTACCAGGCTACATTGTAGCACAAATTTCAGCCTCCATTTGTGCTTCCTTTGCGCTCAAAGGTGTTTTCCATCCTTTTATGTCCGGTGGTGTTACTGTCCCTTCTGTCAGCATAGGCCAGGCTTTTGCCCTTGAATTTCTTATAACCTTCAATCTGCTATTCGTCGTTACTGCTGTTGCCACTGATACCCGCGCTGTGAGAAATCAATTGAACATGAACATTCTTTTCTTCATATATTACAAGTAACTAATCGCCATCTGAATTAATCCTTGTTGATAGGTTGGAGAATTAGCAGGCATAGCAGTTGGAGCCACTGTCATGCTTAATATTCTTGTTGCGGGGTGAGTAAATGATTCTTTTGCTACGTCGTCTTCTTCTTGAAAGTAATAGTAAATGAAAAGGGTGATGGAAAAAGGACGCTAGCTAATTGTTTTTACTCTCTTTGAATTGGCAGACCATCGAGTGGTGGCTCGATGAATCCTGTCCGAACTCTTGGACCAGCAGTGGCAGCAGGGAATTACAAGGCAGTCTGGATATACCTTTTGGCACCTACACTTGGAGCTCTTGCAGGGGCTGGCATTTATACTCTAGTTAAGCTTAACGGAGAAGAGGAAGAAGCCCCAAGCCAGGCGAGGAGTTTCCGTCGCTAGACAACCTTGCCAAGGACAGCTGAAATATGAAATTTGTGTGAATAAAGGCAAAGGTCGAAGACTATGTTTCTTTGATTCTAGGCCGAAAAAGGTTTGAATAAATTATGCTTGGAGATGTACTCAATTTGTATTGTTGTATCCAAGCATTTGATGGATGCAGACATTTGTATCTTTTTTATGTACTTTGATGTATTTGGAGTCTGACATGGAAACAGTTTCGTGATTGTGTTATTGTGTATAATAATATGTATGATTTGGTGAACAATCACGCTATACGTGTAGGGTGAGCTTCACAGGGTCACATGGCATTGGGGAAAAATACATAACCCCCCAATTAAAATCTTATCTTGTGTCCCTTTTTCAGCCTCCAAAGCCATTGCCTCCGTTCACAACAACGAGATAAAACCGCCGGACTCATCTCCACATCCGACCGGGGCACAAAACAAGTGAAGAAAGTATAGCTAAAGCATTACCCAAATATACCAACCCAGATATATAGGAAGCTAAACTTGTCCTCTGGCCAGCGCCAAACCACCACTGAAAAACACCTCTCCTTCAAGTTTATAAGGTAATGGGGGAGTTGATTTTGATATTAAAAGTTAGACCTAGATGTATATAACATAATTGTCGATGTGATATTTTCCATTTTTTATCGGTAATACACCCACATTCCTGTGTGAAAGTCATTTATTTAGGAGGTGGAGTTGGTGAATTGCCAAGCTTTAATTCAAGAATTTGCTTGTTTGAGAATTCGGGCAGTGAGCCTGAAAAGGGGGTGGAGTTGGAGAGATTTCTTCTGTTCTCTACTGCAGCAAAGTGTTTTAAGAGGAACTGTGGGGATGGTTTTGGTTCTTTTGGAGGATATGCATGTTTTGTGTGTTGTAATTTTATGTTTCGTACACTACAGCTTTGAAAATGAATTATTCTCGATTTTCTTAGTTGATGTAATATTGAAATTTGTATTATGTGGTTGTTTCGCATCTCAGAATAAGATGAAGGAATGCTGAAGTTTGTCACGGTTATAGAAGCAAGGGGCACTAGCTCGACTAACTGACAAACAAGACGTCAAGATTTCATTGAACGTAACATTCCACAAGGGAAAAGGGAGTGAGGAAGAGAATTGGAAAGGAAAGGGGCCAGCTTGATTAGTAGTGAGAAAGGGAATTGTAATATTATTGTAATTTATATTTGATAATGGAAAATGTGTGTAAAACTATGTTCCTTTCATTATGTTTGGCATCAGTATTTCTATTCTAGCCATGTATTTGAGTTTTGCATTTTATGTTGAGGGTGAATGCTTGAAATATTGAATAGTAGCGGAGAAGTTTAATGAAAGAAGTTATTGTAATTTGAATTGCCGCGATGTTTTCTGGCACTACAAAACGTTTATAACCCCTTGTGATATCACACTAGTTCTACCTAACAATTTTATAAACAAATATAACCAAGTTTCCAAAATTCAGCACTTTCACATGTTATAAACAAGTGGAAAACTGATTCGAAAACTGATTTCAGTAAAACCAAGTGACAGAACAATGCAGAGCTTCACAAATTTTCCAAAATCAGCAGATTAAAAACCAAGTGATATCTCTTCTATACCAATTGTCCAAGTTGATGCTACATGCTCTCTTGCGTACCAAAAACTTGAGGAATTTGAGAAGAATACTGTTATATATTTATGGTATAAATATAAAATATGAAAGAAATAATCAAATTAGATAAAATGCCAAAGTGGTGGGAAATGTGACATTTGTGTGGGACGTCAGGGGTTTGAATCACTCCCCACGCAAATACTAAAATAAATATTTTTTTCTTCATTATTTAATGGGTAAAACTAGCCAGTATTTTATGACTGTTTGTTTTTGTAACAACCCACTAACTGCCATTAAAACACCCACTACTCAGTCATTAAAATTCTGCATTAACATGGTGAAGACTGTTACTACCATCTTGCCTATATAAACCCATATCTTGCTTTGGGAAAAGACACACAAAAAGAAAATAGAATCAATCACTCTTTTCATATTGTGAATTTCTTATATTCGGGTTTTTATACCTATTCTGGAGTACAATTGAGAGTTCTAAAAAAACCATTCGTGATTGCTGCATAAGTGGTTTACGATCGTTGTATCCTGGGAGTGATTGTCCACGGAGGTCACAGCAATTATTGACGGGCAATTTCACTTTAGGACATCGTGCTGTCACGAGACTCGATCG